GATTTGCTACGTTGTAATGCAATTACGATAACAATTTAGTCCAGGAATATTGTAATTTCTGTACGTTAAGTAGCCATTGCTTACACTTTATTTTGAAAGAGTGAATTGTATTATGTCTCAAATTGTTATCCACCTCTATAAAGAGAAACAAAAGAAGGCTTCTAGAATTCAAAATTAAAAGTGTCTGGTATTTTACATTGACAAAGCGGTCTTTACTTAGGAAAAACCATTTCAAAAAGTCATTGTGTAGCAGAAAGAGATCTTGTTCTAGCAAATTAGTTTCACGTAACACCGTACGTTACCATCACCTTTATCTTTAAACATCCACACCGAAAACCTCCGAAAGGTCTGCACAATAACAATTGACTATTATAATGGAATGTAAACGAAAAATAAATGCGATGTTATCAAAAAACATATTAAATTTAACACAACGTGGGGACGGTCGAAATGAAAAACCATTACATTTGGCGTGTTGCCTATATCTACAACCTGGGCTTGCAGAACGTTTATCCTATCACATCCTGTGTCGTTAAAAGTTACTTTCGATGTATCACATTTTCACTCTGTATGCAGTCAGTTACGATTTAACATTGCGAAGTTTTTTACAACGCGATATCTTTTTAAATGTTCATTTGATTTTTTGGAACATGTTTTATGTTTATTGTAGACTATATAGACAAAATGATCAAAGCTTCATGCCTAAAATTGCATCTGTAGGTGAGAATTAAAGAACCTTAAGTGACAAATAGTAATTTTTACTACAGAGCGTTTTGAAACAGAATGGGGCTCTTAATTAGGTATTTTGAATCAGTCTCATATCTTTCTACATTAGTTTTGATTTTAGTAGCTTTCTCTACCGATCTTAGGGTATACGAGAAGGGCACTATAATCTGTACGCGCACCGGAACCTTGAGAGGCTAGTGCGTCGGGTGAGCAGCCGTCCACGTACAGTACCTTTCCTATTTTCCAGATAAATACCGGAGTTGTAGGGACACTAATTTCCCGTTGCGCATTGCACAACTAGCGGTTGCCACCGCTAAGCCGTCGACGTCGACTCTGAGTCCACTACCAAATCTCCTCATTGGTAGTGGAGCTGTAAGGCACGTTCACTTCCCGACGCCGCAAAACAACGTAAGCGGCTGGAGGGACCGGAGGATATCTAGCCTATCCTCTACTAGATCTTCGGGTTAGTGCCGGAGATGCCAGTTGTAATGTCCTGTGACAATGTCCGCACATAGCTACCAATTTAAAGCTCTACTCACTTCAGGCCCTCAACTAGACCGCTAATAAGACGCGCTAGATGCGTACTAGGCATTTTGAATCAGTCATCATTGTCATTATCAACCCATTTATACGTCCCACTGCTGGACATGGGTCTCCT